CCGATGCACAGCGCATATGCTGTCAAGAACAGGCTGGATCGGCCACGTTTTCATTCGCCAGTGTTGGCGACACTTGGCGAATTCGAATCGACGTCAGATATTACGATCGTTAAAATCAATGCCTTTCAACATAAGACGAACGTTGAAAAGGACCAGGCTGGTTCAACGAACATCGCCCGAGATCGATCACTTCGGTTTCTTTCGAAATAGCAATTGGTAAAGGTAACTCCGAAAGTCTTTCAGTCAAGCGTTTGAATTAACGCCAAGAAACAATATCAGCTGTTATTTTCAAAATTCCATTATTAACGGTCATCTCTGCGTCGTACCAGGACAATAGGCATGGATGCCATAAAACGAAAATCATCACGATTTATCTAAGCTCAACGACGAATATCTCTGGTATGAATTTGTTGAAGAAATAGCTTCGTCGATTACACCACCAGATCACATTAGCCAGGGTTTGAAGGATTTCCATTTAGATCATTTGACTTCGACTTCGCGCCCAGCCAGCCAATAGGTCATCATACCACTGTCCAGCAACATACGACGCCAGAATGCCGTGTTCGATATTGAATGCTTCCAGCATAAATGGGAAAGTTAATAACTATCAGTGAGTCATAGCGAACAGTGTTATTATTAAAACAAAAACAAACACGCGAAAGAAAATGCAGTGGTTCGTTGAACGAACATATCAATTTCGTTACGGTAGTCAACATCATCATCATATTTATCGTCATCGATGATATCGTCATCAACATAATATCGTCGTCGTCAATCATCAATATCATCACTATCGTCGTCATCATCGTCATCATCATCATCATCATCATTAATGTCGTCATCATTAGCCGTCGTTAAACATCATCGCCGACGTTCTTTCATCATCATCGCTATCATCGCCGTCATCATCATCGTCTATTATTGCATTTGTGTTGTGATCAAATTTTTCATTGATCACAGCCAGTTAGATGCCGATTTCAACGAAACATTGTTATTCGAAATCGTAATGCGAAACCAACACCAGACAGCAAAGAAGATTAACAATCGTTGTTGTTCGCCGAAGCGAATTGATTATATAGCAGTAAAGCGTACACATCTTCAAAGGTATGTTCCGTTCACATAGACCACGTCGTACCGCAGCGGTCGTTCGCATTACCGCCGAGTATCGAGGAAGAAGTACCGATCAATGGTTTATCTACCGCGAAAACGACTATATATGAATAAATTGCGAACTTCTCTCTGGTTAGTCAACTCCACCAGAATATTTACCAAAGAATATCGACGAGCCGGTTCATTCCAAATGAAACATTGCATCGTGGACGCACCGTTTTTAAATAATAAAAATACCACGAAGGATCTTCTGCTGTCGTAAGAGATTGGCTCCGGGATTGGGAAGTCGACTGTTGTCATCACCGCGCATCAAACATGCCGCCGATCACCGATATCAGTTCATCCAGACCATTGTTATTAAAGACGTCATTATAGCCGAATATGCCGAGGATCATCACCGACCATCGTTCTCTTCACGAATATGTCAACAACGTCGCGAAGCACCACCGGCAACACGACAATGTTATCTCTTAAGTTATCATTGACATGTGTCGGTCGTCACGAAAGTTATCATCACGTTTCGGACAAAGAGTCGGTCAAAGTCACCGTATCCCGGCGGTTCATGCCGAAAGCGCAACATGGCATTACGGTCAACCATGTTCATTTAAAACCACGCGCACAATACGGTTTCAACATGCTAAACCGCATTTCATAGCGGTGATCGATGGCGTCATTGCAGACTCACGGTCATTAATCATGGTCAACAGAAATCATGGCAGAATCGATAACGTACCGATATTTCTCCTACATACCGATGGTACCGGTTAAGATTCCATGCAGTCGTTCCATCATACCAGAAATCAGGGAACATGAAACAGCTCCAACAAACTGATGGTAGATCGATGGTGTTAAACCACAATAAAAGTAATGCACCGGGTATTCGAAATCCGACCGTTCACGACATTGCGTTACTTATGAATGGTCAAAAATAGCGGGGACTAACGAAAGTGTATCGCTAATATTGTCAGCATTTAAAGACGCAAAACAGCCTCACATTTACGCTCGTGCAGCTAAATTGTGGCCGACCACCGGTGAGACAAGTAAATGAAGTGTGTTTTGCAACAAAGAACACAATGCAAACATAAAAACAGGTCAACGGAACAGTTCACGGCCTTAACTTCTTCATTAAAGGAAGAAACATCAATACAAATGTAGTCCAAAGACGTTCATACACTTCATCAAAACACCGTACACTTGAAAATGTGTCGTTTTGCCCGCCTGTTAAAGCCGTTCAAATCGTAAACCAAACGCCGCGGTCTCATTAAAGTTTTGTGCCGGTTGCGTTTACTTCGATTTTCAAAACAGCAACAACATAAACGGTCGCATCTGATATCAGTAGCTGCTGTTACCCCTGGTGCTCAACGACATTGCCTTGTGAAACATACAACGATGCAACCACCAGTGCTGAAGATTTGGCTTCGATATTTACCCGATGCGTCGTACCTGAAAGTAATGTCAAAAATCTTCATTCGCGAAATGACGTGGCAAACGTGTCAAAACCAGCCAAGCGGCTGTTCGTCGCCACGGTGATTTTGTGAACACGACACCGGGTTTCAAAGCCGACGTGCAATGACTCGAAGATCGCATTAATGAAATTTCACTATTGTCGTGATGGCGCAAAGCCCGACGTTGCGCATCGACGAAGCGACGATTCGCCGTTATCAATAGGCCATTGTTTGGCGAATTCTGGTTTCCGATGTGCCGATGCCTGATATTGTGAATTTTGCCTTATTGGTTGGAAATAAGATGAAGAGTCATTCACCGTGCCGACGTTGGTTAGGCGCAGCCGACGCGACAAAATCGGCGGTCAATGCCCTTCGTGTTACGCAGCCCATTGCCCTGGATAGTTCATCATAACAGTCTTTGCTGCCACATCTTCGGTCTGGCCTTTTCTTTCAAAATATGTTTCGTCTTCCGTCCGCACCATTCTTCCATGACGAAGCTCTAGTCGAAGATGGAGATGATGAGACGCGCTGAACAGCAGCGAAGCGCCGTCGCAGAATATTGTGCCGCGCGAAAACCATGAAACACGGTCTCAGTCAACACGGGCTGGCCGAACGATTCAAAGCGAAGAATATTCAATATTAGCACGACGATTTCGAGGATATCCAGCGACGGGATAAAGGGAACAAGAACTCTATGAACAGTATTCGATTTATGTCGATGCCATTCAAAAGCCGAATTCGCGATTACAAGGTTTGCTGCGGCATCAGCAATATTGAAAGTTGGAGCACATATTGAAAATTGAACATAATTGATGTACGAACGCATGCGACGCAGGAAGCGGTCGTTTTTGGAGGAGACGATGGTTATATTGGTAGCAGCACCATCGGAGCCTTTCAGCGTTACAGTTTGGTGCGCGTTCACCTAATCAATACCTGGTCTGGTACTTTTAACGAAAATCGTTACGACCTTTTGCCAGTTATCGCGACGAATGGTGTCGCGTTCACGGGTCAGTCGAAAGACTAAAGCTTGCTTCGTTAATACACAGAATAAAGCGTCAAATTAAAGCGTCATGTGAGATACCGTTGCTGGCAGCGTTTGAGCGGATAGCCTTCACTTTCTTTCATCGCATTGTAATCTCAGTTTTGAATAATTGGTCGTAAAACCGTAACGACCGGTGCTGCAACGTTACTAACGTGAAATTTTCATGACATGTTGATATTGCGGGTCAATGGGGAATGTAAATACTGCGAACAGCTATTGTCACGAATGGACAAGCGATTTGTATTACCTGGTGCTCTGGCCCTCATCACACGGGCATGACTCTTCAGCCGCCGTGCGTCTTTGCGTCATTCATCATCGCGCAAGTTGTACCTTGAACAATACAATATCTGCGAAAATATTTGCAACATGCCGTTACACAACATTTCGAGCCAACCGTAAATATTAGCTAACAACGCTTCGCTCGATTACTTCGTTAAGATCGCTGAAATAACGACACGTTGCCAGATTTTCCACTGACGAGTCTCCGGATTGAAACGGTCTCAACGTTGAAACACCGAAGATGTTCCGTACAGTATTGCTCATCACACCGGTATCATCGCATAAGGCCAATGCGCAGCTTCAAACCGGCGATATTGCTGAACACAAAGCAAAAGCGGCGTAAAACCAACAATACTGTCATCTCGAACACGACACTGACGTCATCACCGCCCGAGCGTTCAGATCCTCAGTAGCACCTGTTTCTTCGAGAGAACAGATGCCTCTGCGCAACTTCCGCAAAATATCTCGCCGCTCTCTGTTGGCAGACCATCATTGGCGTTCGTTTCAACCGCCCAGCTGAAATGAGCAGGAAAAGACCATGGTATACCATGGTATACCATGGTAGACCATGGTTCACAGACCATGGTTGACCATGGTGTATCATGGCTTACCACATCCGGTAAATGGCACCACAGTTTACCATGGTCAAAAGAGACCATGGTCTACCATGGTGAAAAAGACCATGGTGCACCATGGTCAAAAGAGACCATGGTATACCATGGTCTACCATGGTAAAAAAAGACCATGGTCTATCATGGTTTAACCACGTGCGGTAAATGGCACCACAGTTTACCATGGTAAGATAAGACCATGGTCTACCATGGTAAAAAGAGACCATGGTGTACCATGGTCAACCATGGTATACCATGGATTACCATGGTAAAAAGAGACCATGGTGTACCATGGTGTACTACTGAAAAAAACTGAGACCATGGTCAGTATACCCTGTTCGGTAGATGGCACATTAGAATACCATTATTTAGACTATGGTAAGAAACCAACCGCGCCATACCACAATATATACATTGTAGTCACATACACCATGGCATAGAGATCAATTAGAATATTGGGTATTGAAGAATTAACATTAAACAAACTCATGCACTGAAAACAAACTGTTCAAATTATAAAGACACATTTTATTGCTGACACTGACAGATTTAAATGAAAGACAACTTGAGGACAGTTGTTGGGAAACTCACAGGGATTGAGGGATATTCTGTGCAACAAGTACAAGTCTAAAGCAAACTAGAATTACATATCCAGTAATGCTGCTAGGGACAAATGGCATGTGGACATGTTCATCATTTTTCAGAGGATATTCTTATCTATTATTTTATTCTAAAAACATCTTTAGGGCAGCTTGGATGTCAGTCTATATCCAGGAAAATTAACCAATTCAGAACACCATTTCATGCAGTAATATACAATTTCAGAAAGAGTAATCACTTTAGTCTATATGGTTTAGAAGTAGACATAATAAATGAGAGTCACAACCAACAGAGAAATTACAACAGGGCCCAAAATCATCTACCTGGAAGTTGTACAAGGGGCATCACAATTTCTCTCAGAAGAAACAGGATATACACAAGTCTGAAGAACCTTCGGAAAGAGCAGTGGTGACATCCCCGAAAATGTCCACATTGGTTCAGGGATATTGAGTGAGTGAGTTTAGTTTTACACCACTTTTAGCAATGTTCCAGCAATATCACACCGAGGGACACCTAAGGGGCTACACACATTGTACCCATGCGAGGAATCGAACCCAAGTCTTCAGTGTGATGAGCAAACGCTCCGGCACAGGAATAAACTCATCTTGTAGAACTTTATCTTCAGTGTTTCAACATTAGGACCATTTCTTCAGAATCGTCCAGTGGAAATCTGAAAAACACACCAACATTTAATCACAATCATTCTATTTCAAACAGTCTTAAGCAAATATCAAACAAGCGTTGTTGTTGTTTTTTAAATATATATTTACAGTTGCTCAAAATGTTATGTATTTTTAACATATTGCAAATATTTTTCACCAGACTCTAATTATATTGTTCAAAATAATTTCTTTACACTGATGGCAGATGACTTTAAAATATTTTTGTAATATGAAGAGTCTATGCCAAGTAACACAACATGTATTAGAAATTAAAACACCAAATTGGCTTCTAAATCACTAGTCTACATTCATGACCAAATATAATATTCTGAAATGTTTACATTCCCCATTATTTATAATAATCAACATATCATAACATAGAAAAACGTATCTTACTGTAAGTGAATCTATTTCCACGTTAAGTGAATAGCTAAACGTTTTGGCACAGTCATTTTGGTTTACAGTCAGTAGTTATTCCAAAACTGAATACAAATACGATAGAAAAGAAAATGAAATATCCATAAACATGCCTGTAGCAATTATCTCCCTTTTTATGACCCTTTGAATTTATTTTGCTGTCTGTGTAATCTAAGCAAACAAACTGAATCTTTCAGGCTGACCTCTACAAGCCCCGTGAACTTTGACACCATTCGATCACTGATAACTTAACTAAAAAAGTCATAACGGTTTTGTTTTTTTAAAAAGTACCGTTAGATATTGGTCGTGTGTTAACATAGATATGTAGAATATATTGCACAAAACCCAAATTAACACTGACTTTCCGTTTGAGGGAAGTACATTGTTTATAAAATGAACACTGCTATATCTTATATCGTCTTTCCGTCATTCTCCTCAAAAACTGTTGCTTACCACGTCACATACGTTCGTATGTGCGTATTCCCGAACATCAAAACAATTTCAATATATCTGCACTCAAAATAATTTCAATATTGCTGTTATTTACTTACCGCTCATGCTTATGTCCACTGGAATTCAACTTGAGATGTATCCATCGGCACTAAATCTAGTCTATTCCTTTATCATGAGTTCTTGACATATCCATCGCTGGATTATCCTCGAAATCCGTCATTGCTAATATATTAGGGATATTCTTCGCTTGGATCGTTGTAGTCTATTGCCAGTGTTGACAAAGTTGTGTTTCGCGCCTATCACTGGTTTTGCGCGCTCACAAAATGTCTACGTGACAAGTAGCAGCTATGGCATCGGTCGTGGCGCGGGAAACGGTCGCGTGTCTCCGTATCGTACTATCTCCATTCGGCTTGTCCCGGAATGGTGCGAGTTGGAAGTTGAAACATATTTTTTAGAAAAGAAAAATTAATTAGTACGACCAGGGATGTATCGTAACTATGTATGTAAAAGGCTGTATGATTAGTGCTATCCGTTCTTGAAGTCGCAATAAGATTACGTAAGCACGAAGGGCGTGGCCGTGTTTGCAATCACGCGATCGAGGTACTTCATAACAACACTACGTAGTCAACAGTGGATAATTTCTCATCTTATTAACAAATAAAGGCAAGAATTACAATATCAAGGCATCAACATCAAAATTAGAATTCATAAACAATAATATTGTCAACGGCGGGAATCGCAAAAAAAGATATTCAGTGCACACGTTCCTTCGTCGGTCATAACGTGGAAGAATAGTTTTTGCACATATCCCCGGCAATAATTTAAATTTCATTAATCTACTTTGATGTAATCTCTTCCGGGTCATATTGCACGTGCTGAACAGGAAGTGACAGTGAAATGTGTTCTAAAATCGGGAGCTTCACCATTAACATTGCGAAAGACGTACTTATAACAAGTTTTAGGCACGTTTGCCGATCGTGATCACTCACGGGAGAAATTCAATGAAATGAGACGATTTTGACATTGTACTTTCAAATTTTATTTTATGGAGTAAATATGAAAAAGAAAGAGAATTAAAAATCTTCCAGCACTAATTGGTTACGCTGTTATTGACAGAAGGTAAGTTTTACGCAGAACTGTCTATGTTTCTAAAACGGATCGTGTTAGGCACAGAATATTGTTTCGCCTTCTGTCGTGCATTGTTTATGTTGTTGCTGTATTTTTTGAAAAATCAAAAACTAAACGCAACCAGGCACAAAAACTAGTAAGACCACGAGAGACGGGGTTTACAGTTTAATGGACAACTTTAGCAAAGGGGCGGGCAAAATTATTTTATTTTCAAATGTACGGAGGGTTAATTTTGTTTTGATTTTCAAGTGTATAAGACGTCCTTTGTTCCTTATTTGTGTGTGTGTTTCTGTAGCAACAATGAGAAAGTTAAATTACGTGAACTGTTCCCGTTGATAATTGTTTTTTATGACATTGTGTTCTTGTATTTTTCATTAAAACACACTTCATTTTTACTTGTCTCTCACCGAGTGAAGTGTTCAATTTTAGTTGTTTAATGCACACAGACGTAAAAACATCTGAGATGTTTTACACACGTCCTTTGTAATGCTATTAGTATAATGCCTGTGTAACACTTCATTGAATGCTCCCGCTATTTTGTTATTCATAAATGAAACACAATGTCATGAAACAGTCAGGATTTCAATTTTAATTTTTTTATTTATCACAGTTTGAAATGTAAAATTGGTCTGTCATGACCATGGTCTACCATAGATTTGTATGTGATGACCATGGTCAACCATTACTTTGTATGAGAACAACACCATGGTCTACCATAGTTTTGTTTAAGATGACCATGGTCTACCCTGGTTTCTGGTGACCATGGTCTAGAATGACCATGGTCTGCTGTGGTATACCATGGTATACCATGGGGAGAAATGTTGGTGACCATGGTCTACCATGGTTTCTGGTGACCATGGTCTATAATGACCATGGTCTGCTGTGGTATACCATGGTGACCATGGTCTACCATGGTCTACCATGGGGAGAAATGTTAGTGACCACGGTTTAGCATGGTAAACCATGGTAATACCATGGTTTATCCGGTTGGTAAGCCTTTTCATGGTTGACCATGGTCAACCATGGTGCCTTTTCAGCTGGGTATATTCTAACCCGGACCTTCACAGGTAAATTCGATAATGTATCAACTTACATCCAGTGCTGGGAAACTTCTGTTTCCAGATCTCTTGAAGGTCGAGAGTTAATAACACACACTGTTCTATCCCGGACATTGGCTGCAAGCAGAAGCCAGTGACTGTTGATACAGATGGGCATCAGCAGCAGGTCGTACTTCTTCAACTCAGTCTGTAACGAGCAGACATTGTTTATGTGTACGGTTATGTGATAGTGTTTACAAGTATTTAAAACAGTGCAGTATTTACAGTGCAATGTTTCATTTAAGATTCAGCTCAGGGAAGTGCTGTTGGGCAAGACCGGTGTGGAAATGTCTTGGAATATTACGTAATATTCTAGTGGAGGTTGACCTAGAGAATTAGAGAAAGTTCTGGAGGCTAATTCATATATAAGTCATTTCGCAGTACAAGACCAGCAGTTGTGTGAAGATCAATTTTCTCCCTCGATACTCAGCTTTGGCCTATTGTGCAGACTTGACCACTGTTTCAGTGACGTGAAGTTATTACCATCACTGCCTTTCCTGCTATAATCACTGCTTTAATATGTGACAGACATACCTCCACAGAATGTGTACAGCTACTCCATTTTGTACTGCCATAGTAATTCCTTTGTAGTGATTTGTAATAATTTGTGAACGATTGTTAATTGTATCACATTTCTTTGCTGTCTAGTGTTGGTTTCACATTGATTTCCAGATAACTTAATGTTTCGATTTGGAAATCAACATCTAACAATGTGATGTGAAGGAATTTGATCTAACACATCTAAATCACAATAATAGATGACGATGACAATGATGATGATAATGATGACGATGACGACGATGATAATGAGGATGATGATGGTGAAGAAGACGGCGACGATGATGATGATAACGACAATAATGATGATGACGACGATAATGATGATGATGATGATGATGGTGATGATGATGACGACGATAGTGATGATGATGGTGATGATGATGACGACGACGATGATGATGTTGATGACAATCATGATGACGATGACGATGACAAATATGATGATGATGTTGATACTACCATGTAAAGTGATATAATTTATGTTCGGATATCAACCCATGATTACTGCATTTCTTTTCACTATGTTTTGTTTTGTTTCTAATAATATATACCTGTTCATATAACCACTGAGAGTAGTTGTGCTTTTCCCACAGTTTATACTGGAAACATTCCATTATCCAGACAGCTTGTGATCTGGCATCAGTGTGTTGCTTCTGGACCAGGTACAGATAGGCATGGATGACCTGTAACAGCAACAAACACAAGTCCTTGTAAAACAAAACATTTGAAATTAAATGATCCTAAATGGAAATCAACAAACTACAATATGTGATGCAATTTGAGATTAAAATATCAACAGAAACATGGCTGTTTATGCATAAAATCATATTAATTCTGAGGCACAGGAGACCCTGTTCTCTAAGAAGTCTTAATTCTCTGTGTAGCGTTCCAGTTGTCGTTGAAAACCCAAGATAAATCGTGATATTGATTTTTCGTTTGCCAGCACCATATCCATGCCCTATTATTTCACAAAAGCGGTAAAGGTGTAACACCAACATAATGGATTTCTTTCATCTTCCATAGAACTGGCACGGAGAAGCCGTTCAAAATGTAAATAGAGTCCCCCACTGAAACTCTTAAGGCTTGAATGTGACACTAACGAAGCATTAGTAAAACTGATTCCTACTGCCAATAGTAAGTATAACAAAGACTGGGATTTACCTGCTTACCAATTGCTAGTACATTTCAAAAGTAAAAGTGAGTGACATCTCAGGTAATGGTGTTGGATTAGCCTCTAATTTATGGCTGCACATTTCAAGCATTTCAGTCTATATTTAAAGAAAACATTGTTCCTGTAATCTGTAAAATATCCTGACATTATTCCGGAATTCCATAAGTGTCACCAACCTGCAAACATTAATGAATGAAAACATGTGATCCAGTACCTGTGCCAGTATTTGTGCCCATGATACTCACACTGTCATCCAGCCAGGATGTGCCTTCTAACCCAAGGATGTCGCTTCCGGAGACTGTGTAGGTGCCAATCCGATATGAAGCGGCAGGATCAACGGGTTTCGTTTTCTGTTCAGTCCATGCTGTTTGTAAATGATGCGGGTAAATCTTCAAGGTTTCTAGAAATGCCAGACAATCCAATTTAGCGTCAAAGGCTCCAACAATAACTGCTGACAGCACTTCCAACAGTGGAGCATCATTCTGAATGTCTTGTCCTGCAAAATGTGACTTTAGTATTAACTGCTGTGCCCTTCTGAAGTCTCCTGCACACTCTCTGGATACTTGAGCAACAAGAGAAACAGCAGTTTCTGGTAAAGGTGGCTTGTCTTTTGAGGCTGACTCCCCAATACACCTTACAGGTAAAGTTTGAGAACAGACTGATCCTGAGGTTAACAAAGAATCTGACTCTTTCAATTCGCGCTCAACTTCTGTCTTCACGGTTTCTTTCATCAGTGCAATGACACAAGTGAGCTGCCCTGAGCTGGTTTGAGATTCAAAGAAGCATCCCAGTGTACCAGGAGCTGTTAGAGTTTCAGATGTAACATTATGTTGTTGAAGAGTATCAGAATGACAACTGGTTGCATGCCCATCTCTGTCCAGGTTTGGCACAGTTTCAGCATTGTTATCAAGTGTTACAACAGAATCCATGACTTGAACACCAGTTGAAGACACTCCATCATCTGGAATGATCAGACAAATAGTTTGTGGTGGTCCCAGTTCATACACAGGACCAAGGCTTGACATATTCAAGTTTACAGCATTTCCAGAACTTGTAGCTATCATTGGAGATGTCTGTTGACTGCTGCTAGGATACATACGGTCTGTGTTTGACTGCGCAGACTGCACAGTATTATCTGAAAGATTCTCAACCACTGAGGCATTGATCCTACTATCACAACCGTTCTCCTGTGAGGTACCCCCTGCCATGTTTTCTTGGTAAATAGTTTCACACAGTTCAGCAAGTTTATTAAATCTTGTTTGTAGTGACATTACGCCTGTGGTATCTGTTGCCTGAGGAATGTCATCTTCTGTGCAATGACTTGCAGGAACTAGATGATCCTGAGCGAGATCAGTAGGAATTTCGTGTTCAGTCTGTCGACAAGCCCTCTTCTTCTTTCTCTTTCTTGTTTTCTTCTTAACTTTTTTGTGTATCCTCTTTTCTCGACACCTGGTGTTGCTGATATGAGACAATGATCGAGGAATCATTACCCCAGGAACAGCAGATGTCTGTGCCTGTTCCTGCAGCTGTTGCTGTATGTCTCTAGGTTTGATTCTCGTGTCTTTCAATGCCTGGATCACCGAAGGACAGAGGCGTGTATAAGACTTGGAGGTGTCTTTTGCATTACCATGAGGAAGGTCTACAGCAACACTTTCATCCCCGAGATATTGAAACAGGACCAAGTTGTTATGATTTTCCAGCAAAACGTAAGCATGTTTCTTGAATCTTTTGTCTTTACCTCGACTGGTTCTCAGCACAAAGAAATTTTTGTAAAATTTAGGATTAGTTCTAGGCTGCTTACGTAGGCCGTCGTGTTGAAAGTGATACTGATCACATCTCCAGTCATCTGGGAAAAAAGGAAATACATCATAAAAGAAGGTACTACCCGGTATGTGAAATCTAAACACTTCAAACCCACATGCCCTGTCACACATACCCCGCCATGTCATAATATCAGCATGCTTGAAATACTGTCCCTAGCTTCCATATATTAAAGAAAAATATAAACAAAACCAGGTTTCCATAAACCAAAAAGCAGTAAATCAATGATCCATAAAGAGAGTATAACTGCAGTATAAACCTGGCTGCATTATATAACACTGGTAGATCGCTGTATGTCACAATTAATGGAAGGTCGCTGCCAGATCAAACTGAGGGGAAACATGTGTGGAATATTCCTGTAGCATGTCCTCAAACTGTGCATTAACATATGGATGTGACCATATTGTCTTCAATAAACATTTATCGTAATGTGGTTATACAATTTCAGCGCTGAACGCTTTATGTCACATTACTTTCATGTGAGACTTTTCACTGTGATTGGCTTTCCCTGCATGAATTCACAATGCTTTTCAGAAAGGTGTCAAATGTACCAACGTTACAATGCGGATTGCACATGCTCATTAAATTACATATTCTAGTACATCAGAGATTTCAACTCACACTGAGAGGCACCATATCGCCAGCACTCCATTCAGCAATCTGACTCACTCAGCTCAAACAAGCAGGCCTTCAAAACCGGTTGTGAGAGTGAGTTAGTCAGGTAAAATAAAGTTACTTCTGCAGTATTTCAGCCATATTATGACTATGAGAGTTGAATATTAATAAAAGCAAAGTAGGCAATACAAATGTCTGGGACGGTCAAATAACAAGACCATCACAGATTTAGACTTAAAACTAACATGTACCTGTAAAACGATATTTCTATGCGGATGGATGTCCCCTGATTAGCAAAGTTGTATATATGTACTACTTACTGGCTCCATTTATTAAATTAAATACACCATTGTTCGGAAGCCATTTAGTGGTAGTGATATTAGTTGAAGTTTTACCTTTCTTGCAGTCATCCGTGTAGTGGAAAAAAACACCTCCCCGCCCTCGGTCTGGCGGGGGTTCTCGGATCACCCTCGACCAGTCAGGGTTTTGGAGTATGTCGAGCACCTCGCGAGAAGTGAAGGACGTCACGCTGTACTGGTAGGGCATCGTGCCAAGTTTCATATAATGTTCTGTAAACAGCAAAGGAAATCATTTGAAAGACAAGTGTGGCATATATATTACAGCTATGTGGAGGTTGTCTGGATTTTCGAGTCTGGACCAGACAATCCAGTAATCAATATCATGAGCATCGATCTACGCAACTGGGATACGATGACATGTGTCAACCAAGTCAGCGAGCCTGACCACCCGATCCCGTTAGTCGCCTCTTACGACAAGCACAGGTTCCTGAAAGTGTTTCAGAGGTCTGGCATTATATGAGTAAGTCAGCAATCATAGGTTCGTGTCTTGCTTAGAAACACCGTTAGAAACGCTGGATACATAGACTCAACCCTATTACAATATAAAAGACATGGGCAGATCGAGGAATTTCCAAAGGTCGAACACTCAGACTTGAAAAACGCCTGCGTTGTAAATGTATATTAACTGCCCAAGGGACCTTCGGAAATAGATAAACGCGTGGTGTTTATTTGTGTATTTACGGTAGTCCTCCGTACCTGTGGCACCCGTGTCTGTGAAAGACTTTGTTGTTGAAGTTGGTACATAGGTTAACCTGTTCACATTGTACAGTCTGAACGAGCCATTCCGGCGCTATTTAAAGCATAGTGTGAATGTCGGGTGTGGATCGGCAGTCACGATATGTGCCTGCGAATGGCTGTGCTTGTATCCAAAGGGTTCTTAATTAACTCCGCCCTTTTTCCCTGCCAGGTATGTGCGTTACCTGTCAGTTATCTCACACCTGGGAGGGCGTTTCTTACCGGAACTACGGTATACCCTCGTACTTCGGTCCTGACGATAAGGGATGTGCGAGAGGTACCGTGTCAGTACTCAAGGGCCCTTTGGACCTTTACCGTAGTTCCTCCAGCAACCACAAGACGATGATCTTCGTTCCACAGTTTTATTAACACAGCGATGCTGGTCCAACCCACTCTATTTGTCACATAATTAGAAGACTTCAGCTGGGAAGCTTCAGTCTCAGTCGAAAGTTTGTTTCTTAGTACGAAAGTTAGTGACAATCAGATGAGAGCTGATGCGCCCTAGACCCCAGGCTTGGGGTTCCTAGGAGCACACTCGTTCTCGGCTTCAGGTCTCGCACCACTCCCCCGTCTCTGAGCTTTGCTCCAGCATAAAGCTGGGTTCCTACGTCACAGCCAACACCCTTTCCCATTTTTTCTATTGGTCAATAACCCATAACCTGACTATCTATTACTCTCCCCCACCTCTATTTCGTACCCCCAATACCATATTTGTAAGACTGTGAGGTGGATTCCAGGAATCTCAGAGTCTCTCTCCCCTAGCCATATATGACTCGTAGAGTACCAAGAATTGGTAGCTAGGTCCCCGGACACGCCGCTCCGTCTTGATAGTGTAGTAGTTTTTCCCTACCTATGCTATGAGTCACCTCATCTTGCCCCATCAGCTCCAACGACCTACTTTCATGTTTATTACCTCCGCTACTGACTTCCCACCTTACAACGTTATCAATCACTTCACATCTTAAATATATTATCAAATCCTCTCATAATTTGTATCTTATCACCTCCCAATCACCTGTTATTAATAATGTCAATTGTATATCTATTATTGTAGCAAGTACAATAATCTAATGCCTATAATACGACTCCCTTTCTGACTAAGAGTGTGCCCTCACACTCTAAGTTCTATCTTTATCAATATTACAATTTCATGCCTATAATACGACCCCCTTTCTGACCAAGAGTGTGCCCACACACTCTAAGTTCTGTGACGCAGGGATCCAAGTTTGTGCCAAATGGTTTTGTTGATTTTTCATTCTTTTGTTTTTGAATGTGACAGACAGAGCCAGTAGACTGCAACCGTTTTGAAATACAATCGAGTACAACAACATATAGAACGGTTCACAATCCCGTTGGTTAAAATGGTTTCAACAACTACTAACATAGCAACATATCACCCACGAGAAATGAATACAAAATGGTTCAATTGTTTACGACTGAGTATAACATAAATTCATTCCGCTACCCGGTGTGTATAAGGTATCAATCCCAATACTAATACATATTTGTTAACAACAATAACTATGGGTATCTACTATATATGTGTATAACTCCCTTTGACGATATAATAAAATAATATTCTGGAAGTTAATTTTGGTCCTACGGCCATGAATTGACAGAACACTTTGAGTTCGGCCCTGTTATCTTTCCATTTCGTTTATGGTTTTCCCCAACGTTCCCCCACCTTAAACATATATGATCCAAAGCACTTCAAAAACAGAGGCATGCGACATAATTTATACCCCATAACGTGATCTTGTGATCGTAGTCGTCACCAAGGGGAGCCATGCTATATATGGA